GCGCGGCTGCTGGTTGGGCTCGAGAGAGTTTCTACCACACTGAATTGTAGCAGTAAATGTCTTCCCAAAACCTTCAACATTTCCTGGAGAATTTAAGTTATTTTCAAACAATGACCGATCACATGAAATGCTAACCGAACTTCTAAAGTGCGGTTCCGATTTCAAAGTACTACTTAAGCATTTACGCAGCTTACAAGGGCCTCCTGGCGACCACACATGAAGTCGGAGGGAAGATGGTTGGTTAATCAGCTCCATTCCTCAGTCAATCATCTCCAGCTAGGTTGGCCTGTGAATTGCCCTTACCTGGGTTGAGAACTGTTAGCATAATCAATGTCCGATCTCATGAAATGCTAACCGAAGTTCTGAAATGCGCTTTCGATTAGGGAGAACTACTTAAGTGAGGTTGTAGTATTTGGTGTCTTGGGTATAGCTCCACAACATTTCAAACACACCAGGATGTTGGCTGCTGAATGTACTGCTTTTCGGCCACTTTTAAAAAAACACCCGTTAAAAAATGACTGTTTGAATGGTATGTATTTATTGCATCGATCTTCCATGCCCTTATAAGATGGGAAATATTTTGTCGAAAAGATGCACAAAATATCCTTTCTTATACTCGTTTGGTAGCAAATTACGTTGCTTTCAAATTTCATAGTCGAAGAACGGGTATTTTTCGGTTTTAAAAAAGTCTTTCTATCCCGAATAATTCTAAGTCCGATCGGTAATTGCACTTTTGTTTGGGGTTTTCAGTCCCCAAGCTGTATACTTTCTGTGGAGCGAAAAACATACATTCCTTTATGTCATTAGGACCGTACCATATGGGGCTCATAAAATGTTGCAACGGACGTGGATAATGTTGGATACTTAACGAGGGACATTATTAGACGGACGGACATGATAATACGCGAATAGGCATACCACGGCCTTAAAAACCCTGTAACTAAGATCTTTTTGAGACCATATCTTCTATTCGAGTATTGAACTTGAAAACAACTTAATTTGCTACAAAACGAGTACAAGAAAGGATATTTTGTGCATCTTTTCGACAAAATATTTCCCATCTTATAAGGGCATGGAAGATCGATGCAATAAATACATACCATTCAAACAGTCATTTTTTAACGGGTGTTTTTTTAAAAGTGGCCGAAAAGCAGTACATTCAGCAGCCAACATCCTGGTGTGTTTGAAATGTTGTGGAGCTATACCCAAGACACCAAATACTACAACCTCACTTAAGTAGTTCTCCCTAATCGAAAGCGCATTTCAGAACTTCGGTTAGCATTTCATGAGATCGGACATTGATTATGCTAACAGTTCTCAACCCAGGTAAGGGCAATTCACAGGCCAACCTAGCTGGAGATGATTGACTGAGGAATGGAGCTGATTAACCAACCATCTTCCCTCCGACTTCATGTGTGATCGTCAGGAGGCCTTTGCAAGCTGCGTAGACGCCAAGAATACTCCATTTTGCCCGAAAGGCAGACGTGAAAGCTCTCGACGGAGTAATGCGGCAGCATTTTGTTGACAAGCCTCAGAAAAATCTAGCATGAACATGAATTGGAGATATCCTCGGGTAAGAAGCAAACATTAGTTGACCACTCCCTACATAACTTTCTAAAGCGGTACCACGTGCTCCAGCCAGAAAACCTCCCCACCACAGTGAGCAAAGTAAGCTGACAGAAGCTAAGTGCATTTGATTGGTTACTGTCTTCTGCAGTATGGTATTACGAACAAAGACAAGGGAGACTGGTAATAACAGATTGCCTATATCATGCGCGGCTGTGCGACTGCTGGTCGGGCTCGAGAGAGAGTCCGTAAGGCACAACGGAACGAGTGAGTTCCGTAAGTACGATCAATGAGCGCCTCCTACCACTGTCTTCTGCATAAGTTATACCCGCTTGAGAAACCTACTGGCTTTTATTATTTGTCCACTACCAGATACTAGTCTAGCACACTTTGTTAAATTCTCGACGAACTTGTGTATTGGGTCTCACCCGTCTCTTCGTATTTCCTTGAATAATATTACTTACCATATTCCTCTAGGTGACCCACAACAAACCCATTAATAGGAAGCACACATTGTTTAAGGTAATGAATCAGTGTTCTCAAAACTAAAAAAGAGGTGCGCAACAGGGGTCTAACTATGGGAAACATGAGGGCTAATTAAACGTAGATGAATAATGCTATCAGATGATATATGACCAAACTATTCAATAAGTAAAAGCTTCGCACCAAACCTTAGCGGCGGTGGATTGCGTTCGCACGCATCATTTACAACTAGTGAATAACTGTGAAATGATTGAATGATTCAGACATATGCGTGAAAAGAGGAAATGTTATCAGGGGGGGGGGGGCTGTCTATGACACTTAAAGGGGCCTTGATAAGGCGATATTTTTCACAGATCGAGGTAAGATTTGGACGAAAGTAAAGAAGACAAGGCAAGAAAGAACAAAACGGTTAGTTTATGTTTATAAAAACACAATGGGCCTGACTGGGAAAACTGTGAGAACTAGATAGGGGACTGGCAGCAAAAGCCGACTTGTGTTATACGCAGCTGACATGAACAAGCCAAACCATCGGGTTCTGGAACGCGTCAATACTTTTCTGAAATCTTGGGTAAAGTTCTTGACAGAGGGAGGCACAACTATGGATGTAATGGTATAAATTTAGCTGAATAACTTGACTCCAGGGCCCCAAAACACTATAGGAGTACTAAAAATCGAACCCCCGTGCCCCAGACACCGATATCTACGTGACAATAATATAAATGAACCATAATGAAAACATTTAAAAAACAATTTGTGGAATTTTCCAATTACTAGAGACCAACAGACGGATAGGATTGAAAATACAATGCTCGGCTTTCTCGACACGAATACTATGTATAATTAAAGCAAGTTTGTTATAATACACTGAAATGAGTGTTCCTTATTTGAGAAGGACACGTTCATGGATGGAAGGAGGAATAAAGTGACGATGTTAACATTGAAAGCCCTTGCTTACGAACCACACACCCTAACTGACGTCGTAAAGTTCCCATATTCGAATTCGGTTCAGTAGAGTCGCGGGTAAAGGAAATTCACTAAACCTATGCCAGTTCACGTAAGGATTCCAGTTATGCTGACAGAAATTATGGATAACGACGAGAAAGTGTGCGGCGGTGCTTACTGACTTATATGTTGCCTGTCTACCAACAACGCTCCAACTACAGAGAGGGATGGCCTGTGACATTAAAGCTGGTCGATTTGATCGTTGGTATTTAACGTTTTACCAGTAGATACCGCATCGTCGTTGCGTGATGTTCGCTTTTATGTGATCATTTACGTGATTTACGTGCAGAATGTCCAAGGAAACGAGAGAAGACTTTGTTCAGGTCTGCAATCAAATTAGGTAAATGACCATTTAAATGTCAAGTTGAATAGTCTCATTCAAAATGAACGAGTCAGAAGTCCGTGACTCGCCTGGCGGAACAAGTTTCACCGAAGGACACCGGTTACGCCTACTCAGGACAGTTCATCGTGCCCATACGAAGGGGCATTTTAGAAGAAAGAGCCGCAGCAAATGCTGTTTCAAACGGTTGGATTGATTAAATTCAAAGCGAAGATAGTGTCTCCGTAAATTCCCTCAAATAAATAGGTCATTACTTGCAATTACTGTAGACGGTGCTGAAAATTATGTCCTGCTTTTTATGTAGAAGTATGTTTGCGAATACCATCCTTCGAGTTGGAGTGAAATAGCCTTTCGAATATTTACGCTTTAAAACTAACTTTCGACTGGGCGGAAAGGTCAATGGGAAGGTGACATTGGCTAGTGGGGTTTCTTGTCCACGGTTGCAGTATAAATGACACTTTGAATTTTGTCAATCCCATTTTTAGTGGTCAGTAGTCTTCGCACAAATACTGAAACAGCCAAAGTCTAACTTCTCTACGCTTAACAGGGATAACTGGTCCTAAAGACAATTTGTACTGAGGCCAGTCAAACTCCTCGGAAAAGCCTGTACCGAACATTAATTCTACCAAGATATCTGATCGCGTGGGGAAACATGCAGTGGCTCATGCTCCGGCTGTTGAAATTGACCGATCAGCTTACAGGCCGACTAAGCTGTGCTCTCACTCAAGACGCCGTGACACATTCCCCATTGTCACTCGGGCCGCCGCTCTCGCAGCACCCGACGCGTTCTCTCGTAAGTCTGCCGACTTACCCCAACCGGTTTCTCCAATCTTTCTGCACAGAACGCACTATCCTCTTAACTGGCATCCAGCACCTTTCCTTTGTATTCCGGGCCGGGTCTGAGGCTCGTAGTGGCTGGGGTCTTTCCATGGCGTGGGGCGGCGCGACAAACAAATGGATCTATGAGCTTCTTGACCAAATTTTTTAAATTTCGAATCTTCGCAAATGAGTCGATGAAATGCATCTACCGAAGAGAAATTTTACTTTATATTTTGATAGATAAGATTACTTTATACTTTCAGAGAACTCTAAAGACAAATTTAGAACCTCTTTGAGAATACTTTAACTTCAAGACCTAAACAGCGGTCGCCGAAACCTGCATCAATAAAAGAAAGCCAGAGTACAGAAACAGGCTCCTAAAACAATTATAAATCCTTAAGTAACGATTCAAGCTGCTCAAATCTGCAGCCGTTTCCCCTTAAGGCTTTCGCCACTTAAGTAATTTTGAACAACGAAAAGCCTCCTTGCTCCACCAAATAAATTTATGGATTTGTAATTACCTATATACCTGTAATACTGGATTTTTTAAGGGCCACTTATACAAAAACTCAATTGCATTAAGAAATAGAAAAAATATACAGAGCACTTCACACTCAAGGGAGTCCCAGTTGAAGGGTTATACTCGTATTCCAGCAACTGCGGGAGTCAAGAAATAGGGGGAGAGAGGAGGTGGGGCAAGTAATTTCAAAATAGAGTCATAGGTTGCCACTGTCCTGGAAAATGTGATTGTTGTTTCCGTTGCACCGGGTGCGGCGTCCTCACGTAAACCTCAAGTCGCCAGTTTTGGACTGTCATGGTTCGATAGACTAATTTTCTGGCTGCTTATTTTCGATGGACGGATGGACGTTATATTACTTTCCGCAGGATTGCTTTCGTCCTTTGATGGGTCGGCGGAGACCTGCTGGACTGGCTTTCTGCTCGAGTGCGGCATGTCAGAGGCAGACCACCGTCGAAGGGCTGTCGACTTTGAGAGTGACGTCATTGCCGAAGTACCTGTGGACCCGTACTCATTAATGGCTGTTTGCTTAGGCCGCCGAACGAGAGCACTGGCGTTGTGGGACACACCATTTTCTTTCACCCTCGGTCGCTCCTTGGTAGCCTTTCTGATCTGGTTCGTACCACTGTTGCCTTTGACAGCGTTTGAGGGATGTCCAACCTCCCGAGAGCATGGACGGCCAGGCAAGATGCCGTCCTTAACTGCATTCATATTGCTCTCCACAGTCATGCCATTCTGTGTTTCAGTCGCCTCTGCCGATGCCTTAGTGTGTCGCAAGTGATTGATCTGCGTCTCATATGGAAGAGGAGATGTGGGAAAAAATTGTTTAGCACGCGAAGAAGCGGAGGTGGAGCCAGTTAATGACGCCGGATTTGATCTCTGGCCCACCACAGTCTCCATCATGCCCTCGTGAAAGGAGACAGGGCGAATAGGTCGGCCAAACCGGTGGATCGAGTTGTTCGTTGGTGGAATGGATAGTCCATTAGTGCGGACTGGGGTATGCTGGCGGCGCATGATAGCGACCTTAGAGTTAAAGCCACGTTCGGGGACTGGAAGACGGGTATAGAGACTGGCGGGTCTTGTGGTCTTTGCGACCGAAACTTCAGCAACAGTTGAACAGTCTCCTTGAGGATCTGTTGAGTTATGGGGAGAGGTATTGCTGGTGTGGATGGATCCACTCTCGCCGTCTAATGGAAAGAGAGGTTTAGAGTTCAAGGAAATTTTGGGAAGAGCAGAAAGTGGAGGAGAGCCGAACTGAACCCCACTTTGAATAGGCTGAGAAGGAGGAATGGAGGGAGCGACGTTAGTCGACCCATCTGTAGCAATCCGCAATGGTTGTACATCCGTAGCAGAGTTAAGGAATTCTGAACAGCTGGCGGCTCGGAAGACAGGCTGACCGAACTTAGCGGGGACAGATAGTGACGGACCATAGGAGCGGTCCTTGGAAACATCTTTTTCCTCGTCAGAATCTTCAACATCAAAGACGAGTTGGTAAGATCCTGTCCGGTGAAGACTGGGCAAGTCGGCAATAGAGTGGTGGTGGTGATGGGATGGGGGCTGAAATGTCGGACGTCTGATGAGCACGTTCTCGTTGGGGTTGCTATCAACCAGTGTCTCTCGGGCGCCATCGCTTAGATCGGATTCTCGTTCGAAAATGGAGGAACAGCTACAGTCCAAACTCTCACACGACTGTAAGTCCCGATGTTTAAGGCGACACTCAATAACCGCCGCGGAGAGGTTGTGTCTAATTTGACTGACTCCATTTTGAATTTTAGAAGCTGCTTTCGCACTGGCGAGGGCACTTCGCGCCGACTTCTCTACAGCTGCCGCATCACCGAATAAGAAATTATGGATGAGACAGTCACCCTCGATGACGACGCCCTGAATGCAGCCAACTGGAATCATATGGTCAGACAAAGAAAGGCAGGTGCCATTCAGATGAACCTGGAAATAAAAGAGTGCCAGTAGAGTCAGGACAAGTTTGTGTGATCTCTACGGAAAACAATTAACAATTATTACTTTCGAAAAAGAGTCCTTTGATAAAAGGGGTCAAAATTTAAATCTCAACCAAGCATTCACTAAACAGAGCTTTTCCAACACAGGGACCGAGCACACACATGCTTGGCCCTTATACCACGGGAGTGCACATCGCATCAGCCAGTCCCTGATGATGCACAGTCAGGATAGTTGTGAAAAAAATCAGACATGAAATAAATATACAAGTGTGATCGTCACTTTCTCTTTGATTAAGTTACCTGAGATTAGTAATTTTGCTGTTGGCAAAAGAGTTTTGATTAAGACATAAAACATGACGTCGATGTAAAACAACCCGATTGATTGCAACGCACGCGTGAAGTATCCTAAAGAATTACTGAACTCGGTTGACCCGAATATCCAATTCACAATGGAAGCTGAAACTAACGACAAACTCCCCTTCCTGGATGTCCTTGTGGGACGATGTGCAACTGGACAACTGTAAACTACCGCTTACAGGAAAGCCAACAACACAAGACAAATAATACGTTTCAACAGCAATTATTCCCTCTCTCACAAACGCAGCTGTGTCCGTACTCTATTCCAAAGTGTTGAAACACACTGCAGCACACCAGCCTATAAAAGAACTGAAGGACAACACATTCACGACTTCTTTCGGGCCAATGGATACACAGGTTATTTATCAAGCATAGCAAGCACCATGTGAACAGGCGATAGCCACAAAGGGAGCAACTGGGAGGTCTTTAATTAAAGGAGTCTCCGAGGTGGTTTCATGATTGTTAAAAGCGCAAGAGTGGGCATCACCCATCTACCCCAGGCAACAATTCGTCGCATTTTGATGCAACCCAAAGGCACAGTGCCACCCATTGAAACCCCAACAGTTGTCTATCAACCACGCTGTAACGATGAAGGCTGCGACTACGTTGGGGAACCCGGACGGAAATCGCAGACCGGCCTACACGAACAAAAACCGGCGAATCGTAGACTAGACTCGAACTCACAGCTTACGACTCACTTTCAAGGAACAACCATCGTAAGCCGGGACACCCCAAAGACTAAATGTATCATACTTGAGGACTGGCACTCAGATGCCAACTCCATCAAATGGCATCTAAACCTTCCTGCGGCCTATAGAGTCCTACCTCACTACATGCTCCATGACAAGGACAAGATAGTCACACGAAGCTTAAAAATACTGAGCAAAACGGCCCGTTGACTAATTCACCCAAAGGGGTGCACAGGCGCAACCGACCATTATTGAGGTGACGAAAAAAAACGCAGGGGACCGCCTACATTCACAGATAACTGCCAGTAGGCCAAGACAGTGAAAGAAGTAAAACATCGATCGGCCCGAAGCCACTAATTTAGCCGTTCTTTCAAAATTCTGGTCGACTTTATTGCATGAACGCTTTGATAATGGAGAGCCGGCCAAGCCCTTCGAAACGTCGGCCACCCAATTCCAATGGCCCAGTGAGCCGCTCATATTTCTCAGAAGGATGTCAGTTGGGTCCCAGAAACGCTCTACGATGAACGGTCGTTATGCGATAATCTGCCGGAATTAGTGGTATTTAACTGTTTCTTAACATCAGACCGATATTTCGAACGTCGGGCTCAACGAACTGCACTGGTGACTTCTGCGTAAATTTGATTATGGTAACACTAACACTACTCTTACCACCTACACACTCATCATTTTTTAAAGGTCAGACCGACTGCAAACCAGATTAGGTGCAGTGGCTGACTTGCTAGTTAGCCCTACCATTTGTTCCCCACATACACACTGCTCTTTCAGGCTGACAACAGAACGGACCTGTGCTGGTGTTGTGTTGGACCAAAAAGGGGGGCAGCACTGACGCATGGTATGCCTTGGGCTGAGCTTGGTCTGCATGAGACCCAAACACTTGTCATAAACAAGCACAGCACGTGTTATGCGGAAACCTTAGGTCCTGTCAATTACCCCACCCAGTATCGTCAGTCTAAAAGCTGAAAAAGTTTACTGACACATGGAATAGGAGAGAAAAATCAATGCCGTTTCTGAGATATCCTTCCTTATGGTATTTTGCAACATAAGTATTTTCAGATAGTCTGGCGCACCGATAACTGTCGCTATGCGTTACCGCTGGTGACTTGGAATGTTTGAGTTAGAAAACGTAAGAGATCCGGGTTAATAAGCTGAAAAAAATGAACTGCTCACCGGATCAAGGGAATTGTATTGCTAACGTTTCGGAGAGCTTGGCCAGCTCTCCATTACCAAAACGTTTAGTGTAAAATCGACCAGAATATTGAATAAACGGCCGAGTTTGTTGGGTACAACCGTTACTGACCCCAACTGAGGAGACGATACAAAACACGGGAGGCCACCAACATTCACAAACGATGTTCAGAGGGCCAAGGCAGCAAAAGAAGAAGAAACTCCGCCAGCTCAAGACCAACTAATTCGGCTGTTTATTCAAAATTCTGGTCGATTTTTTTGCACTAAACGCTTCGATAATAGAGAGCCGACCAAGCTCTCCTTGATCCGGTGAGCACGTCTTTTTTCAGCGACTTGGAATGCTGCCAGTTGACATACAAACCCGATCCTCCCCAGGGTTCCATTGTCCTTGAAAATTTGGGCCACGGAAGTTTTGTATAGTTCAAGTACTAATTTGTAGGAGTCAGACTTCAACGTTAGATGTGCAGTCAACACAGCTGAAAATTATATGCTGGCCGTAACATCAACCTTGGGAAGTCGTTGCTAGTGACCAGTATCCGGAAGTCAGCATGCCATTTTTATAAGTCTGGATATTATGCGCCTTATACACAGTCCTGTTTAAGTGCTCTTTTCATTCAAAAACATAGTTGGGGGTTTCTCCCAAACTGTAATGCATTTTAGCGCACATTTTACGTGAAGACATGTTGCCCTGTACGCGCCCATATCTTGCTGCTGCATTAGGCAAGTGGGAGGGCTCGGACTTTTCGACAGGCCCCCCTTTGACGGTCATCGTGGAGCTTAGATACATACTCCTCTTTGGGAAAGATAATCAAATTTAATTGTAAATTTCCGACTTTGGTTCCCCGAGTCGTCCTCAGTCGTGAAGTAAGTGTGCAAAACAGTTAACATTTAAACATGCCTAAAAATCGATTTTGCTCCGTCACTCCTGTTGGCGTAATGTTCTGATTGGCCAACGCCTTTTCCACTTTTCTTTGAGGTTGTTGTACACAGCATCCAATTCTACGTGTCGATTGATGTATGAGTTACCAGAGTGAACGGCTTCTAAAAATTCGCGGCCTTTCTTAGACCAGCAGATACCTACAATGCAAGTCTTGTCCCAAGCGACTTGGTGTCCAGTTTCCAGCGTATCCAGGGCAACTTAGGACAAGTGGTCTCGCCTTTGTACGGTCAGTTGATGTTCGTATATCCGTGTAGGGTCCGATTTCTCAGTTTGATCATAGTAAACCGTATTACAGATGTCGCGTGCTATCTTATAGACTACTTCCTTCTTATCTAAATAGTCAACTCTATCCTTCGGGTGTACAAGCTGCTTACGGAGTGTAGTCGTCGGCTTGTGCGCCACAAGTATTTGGTGCTTCCTCAGGTGTCTTTCAAATAATTCGGATACATTCTTTTGAAAGTGAATTTTAACGTTTCATTCAGGACTAATATTCAAACTTCTGGTCATGACTTAGCGACCTTGCCCGCTAGGTTTGACACAAATACGTACGCAAACTCATGAATTAAGTGCTATCAACTCCAGCGGCATAACCGCGCAATACTCCTGCCTTGTGATACAATAAAGATACTAGTAAAAGGTCGAAACAAAGAATTGATTTAGGACGTGGTCGTATACATTTGGAAAAGCTCAGCAATCTGACGGATGAAACATTTATTTTTGAAAAAGTTTCAAAAATTTCGGTAGAGAGAACTTTTCTGGGAAATCAGGATTGACAACGCGCTCGTTCATTGCAAAGTGTCCGTTACATGTTCAATAAAATATTGCACTTAAAATGCATTCCCTTCGGCAACTAGTTAGTGCCGGCATAATCGGCTGCCGGATTTCGCTCGGCAATAACAGGGATTTATGCAGACAGTAATTCACCGTATACGACACGCGGACTCGACCGATCACCTACCAGGATCTCAAACAAAACTACATCGGATTGCCAAAAACACATGTGAACCGTCAGATAGAAGCGCTTTTTTGTATTTGCATGCTCACTACAGCCGACCGACTGTACAATTTTTCGTCGTTTGTGTTACCAAAATCTTTGCTCAGGAAGTCCGAAGTTCGCAGGTAATGATCAGTCACAAACTGCTTATCCGTTTGTTAGAAGAATGGAATCAAACATACTATAAAAAATTATGCTGTCATTCTGGCATTCTTCCATTTTTATCCTCATCTTTTCTATAAAGCTGGTCAAAAATAAACCGACAGCTGGTAGAGCATTTATGAAAAGTAGGTATTTTCTCTTTGACACAAGTGTAAAAAACTCGGTAGGATTCGAACCCAGGACAGCAAGGAAAGTCTTTAGTACAGCCAACGCTCTAACCCATCGGACGACGCGAGTTTAATCACATTTGGTCAAGTTTACCCGCCCAACTTACTGCAACGTCTGGTACTACCAAATCTGGTACTGTAATCACCGAGTTTTTCACAGTTGGGTCGAAGTGAATTATTTGAAATCTGGCATAACATCTATGAATTACATGAGCCTAGCAGTCATCTAGTGGATTCTAGGTGAATTACTTAGGAAATCATGCTTGGGCAGTCAACTTACTGTATCAGATTTGGTGGATTCTAGACGTTGCAGTAGGTTGGGCGGGTAAACTTGACCCAAATGTGATTAAACTCGCGTCGTCCGGCGGGGCCTCGTAGCTCAAGTGTTTAGAGCGTTGGCTGTACTAAAGCCTTTTTTTCTGTCGTGGGTTCGATTGTCACCGAGGCACCGAGTTTTTCACAGTTGAGTCAAGGTGAATCATTTGAAATCTGCCATAACACCTACGAATATTTTCTCTTTTAAAGTATTTGGGTGATTGTGACAGATGAGTCTATTTAGACCTTGCGCGAAAAATATGGATGATGGGAAGTTTTTTGGATTAATTTCATCTTTTATTGTTGAGCAAACGCATTTGCATGGAAAGATAGATTCGTCGATTATAAGCACTTTCAGTTAAAGAGGCGGGCGATTTCTCGTTAGCTGCTCGGAGTAACAGTTCCGATTGTTGACAGCATCTTGGTTAATCTAGTGTGGCCTCCGTCACAGTGAGCTTCAGTAAACTCTTCTCTCGATTTCGTACTTAGCATATTTTTTGGTTTGGAAAAGAATGCGGGCTTCCTATTTTCTATGAATGATTACATTTCATTTTGTTTTAGGGGAGTAAGTTCTTGACTCAACTGGCACTCGTTATAGAATGCTGCCTCAAGCAGAGTCGTTGTCGCCTATGAGAGGTCATGTAATATTTCGACCGTTTCAGGTGACGACGTCCACCGCATGTCGCACAGAGTGGGCACAGCATCAGTGACTTGTGCGCGAACTAATTTCTAATGATGCGGACTTGCGCAGAACCAACCGCACCCTTTTTCTTCCTCACTCAAATCGCTCCGAGGACAAGACAGTGTCGAGACGACCAGAGTTGGGCACGAGTGTAGTAACCGACAAGACTAAACGGTTCGTCTTCTTGTATCCCACAAAAACTGATGACCGCGCCAGACGTATTGAGCTACGGCAAGGCTGTTTGGGTCGGATATGGTTTTGTAGCCCCACCTGAAGTAAACAACCCCCAGTCACCTCTAATACGGGATCGGTGGAAATAGGAGTTTTTGCAGGTGGCGCTGGGGAACGTGCAGGCGACGAAATTAAGCAGTTGTATGCAAAAGAAAAGCTATTGGGAGTGTGCGGTTATACCTTGAATGGTTGAGAAATAGTTAAGCTAACCCCTGACCCTAACCCCTAGCTATAACCCTTAATCCTAAAACCTAACCCCTAATCCTGAACCCTAACCATAACCCCTACACCTGGCCCTTAACCCTAACCCTTCACCCCAACCGTAACAGTACTATGTCCATCAGGTGGGGCTACCAAACCACGTTTTACCGCCGTTTAAACATCAGTAGGTGAGGAGGCAGTCAAGTTCACGTTGAGAGGGAGTCAGTGCAGCCTGAATCCTAGTTTTCTAGTCACTCCACCATACTCACCATAGGGAGGAAGTTGTCCCATAAATTAGCAATCTTCCAAGCCATGACTCATGGAAGGCACGTCACACCTATTATATTGTGCGCTTATACGTCATGGGGGTGAACTCACCAGCGTCGGCCTTGGTGGCTCTTCTCTCCCTTATGCACCAGTCGACTTTCAGAACATGTCAAAGGGGCTGATGATCGAATGGGGTGCAGTATTCGGTAAGGTCGAACGGGTCGTCTACTAGTGGCACGCACGCTCCAGCAGATAATGACGTCGATTATGTTAAGATTTAATTGCCTAGTATTCCTGTTTGCCTTCTTCTTAGCACACAGCATGACCTTGACAGATGCTTATTTTTGTGCAGTGCCAAGTAAACCAAGGTCCTACCGAGTAATAGGAATTTTGGCGATAACATCTGACTCACAATCCCTTTATTTGCATCAGTCTGATTCTTCTGTTCCCTGCACGGACTAGCTTCCTATGAGACTGCGCCCGGTGGGCTGAATGGACTTTCGGTCACAGAAACGTATAGTGGGATTCTGATAGCAAGGTTGGGAATATAGTGTTTTAGCCTGCGCCTCATTGAGCGTAGGACAATACAACCTCCCAATGGAGGGACGTTCTTAAATGTTAGCTTGTATGCCTAAAGTCAGACCAGTAATTTCTTTTAGTGACAGGAAGCGCCTAAGCAATGGAGGCTTTGGCAGCCGTAAACTAGGCGCTTCGCTCTGCCATATTTAAAGTAAGTCGCTTCACCTGCGTGGGGTACCTTTTCAAAATGCCAGAGTTTATAAAGACGCAGTGAGACTAGAAATGTCTGATCCTCCATTGACTACAATCTGCACACATATCTTTACTTTATGAGTAAAGAAACGAATAGACAAGTTAGCAGTTCTCTACCACCATGAATGGGTAATATCGAGTTGGAAAAAGTGTTTTATGCAGATGGAGATGCAGGAAAGGTAAGGTGTTTCAAGAATTTTTCGGGGAACTGGATAACATTATTTCACACAGTTGGTAGGAATTCGAAGTAAGCCTGAGGTGCTGTTGTCAGACAGCTGATTTAATGTCGCAAATTAGTGGTTGTACTTCTATACAGGACTTGCCATGGTATCCCAGAGAGAGAGAGAGAGAGAACAACGGGTTTCGACTTAGTCTCAAAGAAATTATTTTTCAGCTGCTTTCTTTACCTTTAACGTAGCTCATTTTCTGCACTACACAAGCTGTTTACATTATCGATTGCGCCGGACTCTGACACATTACTGATCTTCTACCTTTATCAGACTGGCTCTTCAAACCTGCGGTAGTCAGTCAGATTAGAATAGTGAGGTGCTTTGACTCAGCTTCGCATCGGACATTGCATTGTTATGGGAGTTCCCAGTTCTTTGTAAGTTCCCTTATCGTATCAAAATACTTAAATTACGCGACATACTGACTGCCTGATGAAGTAAAAATCTTCCAATGACTTATTAATGGATCGTTTCGGATTTGTAAGGTCCGAAAATAAAAATTGAAGGGCAGGAATCCCAGGAAATATAATTAGGAGATAGTGGGTTCTTTGGGAAAAGTGAGAACTTTATTAATAGATTTTCAACGTTGGTTTCCCGTGTCGTCGTCAGACTCGAGTAGCATACACATGAACTTCCTCAGTGGTCGTCCTGTAATAGAAATCTTTCTAGTGCAAAGTCGCGCAATACTGTCAATAAGGCGATCGTTGGGTATTCGCCTCCCAGGTGTGGTTAGTTGCTCCTCGAGGTACACTAAAACGTCGATCTTTCTGCAGGTGCAGCTTAAGTTGTTGATGTTTGTTTCACTTTGTACACTACGTTCTGGGATGAACTACTTTGTGCCCAACGCATCCACGAGACAAATGAAAAAGAAAATATCTTTAATTTATCTAGAGGATAATCGGGCACGAATAGGCCCTTCCAACTCCAGAAAATCTGGCAATCCCCACGATACCCCACAAGGAACGGGTGGATGGGGTGCCAGTAAGGGACTAAGGCTCAATGTAAACAAAAGCCTAGCAGATAGATCACAGCACTAACCTCGAAGTTTTCTTTTCTGACAAACACCTTGCAGACAAAAGTTTCCTTTGGTTTGAATCCATTCCTGACAGCATTGAATCCAGATGCATTGGAACTTGTTTCAGGAGTGGACCCAATCACCTCCCACTCACCGGTTGTATTGAAAATGACATGAAGTGGTACAGTGTCACCCACAGGAAGTTTGTCTATAACTGCATCTCTCGCACCAAGCAACTGATCAGGATCAAATGCAACGAAATTCGAAGTGAATTTCATTGAAAATCTGCAATTAAACAAAAAGACTTGAATTGCAATCAGCACAGTCGCGAGTCGCAGTTAACACCCGACACAAGTAACTACGTTATTAGGTTTCTGTAAATGGGATGCTCTGTCATCTGTTTAAATGTGTACTAATTAGGCACTTGCCTTCAGAGATAAGTTTTTGCTATTTTGCCTGCAAAAGCAAAAACTGAATCCTTTATGCATCCTTAAAGAAAGTTAAATAGATTAAGAGCAAGGATGAGTTCAACCTTAAAGACTTCATCCTATCTCGCCTAATGCTTGAAAAACTTCATCTGCGGGCAGTAAAGAAAAACTGCCGACGAGAAATTTTTCAGTTCTTCAAATATGTACCACGCTGTTCCGTGCTCCTCAGTCAGTGAAGTTCCACAGGAAGCCTATTGCAAAATGAAAAATGTGGACTGGTATCATATTTCACCCTGCATTTTTCCAGACTGGCCCCTCTGTGGGACACTTGGCACCTTTCAGCCGCCTTTTCGATAGAAATTAGGAAGTCTAGTCACAATGGGCGAATTCATTATAATTTTCCTCCGCCAGCTGACGGAGCTGACTCGACAGTGGGCACATCTCGTGAGTGATTGGTAGCATTTTAAAGTCGGTTTGCAACAGGTGTTATCGATACTACGAGGCGTCGAATCCCTAGTAAACCTTAAACCTGCAATTTCGATCAGAATAGATGCACTACCACGCATTATGGCTTCCTACCAGTCAGGCCCAATAAAGTGGTTGCCAGCGAAATTTTAAGAAATCTGGAACAACTGGGTCCGGTAATGCTACGCAGGATGAAATAGATCTTCCATCGTATGCAAACATGATTAAATGAGGTGGAGGGGACGCCCACCAGGCCCCACCAGAAAGTCCAAGGTCGAGACAGGGGTTATAATATACTTGCCAATGTATCTCGGGTGTATGTCCGAGAGTACCGAGCACAAGGTCGTAGACAGCAAAAGATTGTGCAGCATAACCAATAAACTGGATTAACTGCCCCCTTAACCCACCATTTTCTTGCACTGACTTTCACAGTTATCACCTATGGACTATCGTCTCATTCCTTCCTTGCGGCCTAAAGAGTTAGTGATACATTCCTGGTTTTGCCTTCAGCAGTACGTTTTAGCTACACTGGCATACTCGACACATTGATTTCTGGTACTCTTATTAATGCACGCATTGTTTACTGCCACGTCTGCCAGCAACAGACGCCTTCCTGTCGGCTTCTTATTTGCCATAGGGGCGTGGCAAAATTCCCATAAACCCCTAAAAGAAGGGCTGTGCCTCATGGGACTTCGCGGCTGTCCTGTGATTTGGTCTTCAACACAGGGAGAGAGACAGCTGTGGATATATCCTGTTTTTCTGCTGGTGGGCATAGGTGCACGAAAAAGAACGTGCGCTTAATAATCTGCAACAACCAAACCCAGCCAACAGTTGGTCAGTAGTTAGCAGGCTTTTTCGCATCAGAGGCGACGGTAATGGGGCAGTGAATACCACTAAATGTCTGACCTTCTGAATATTTACAGTTGTTTGCATTATGGTCTGAGGTTCCGGCCTCTCATGCAATACTGACTAAAGGGGTAATATTGGCCTTTAAATGTCATTGCATAAATTGGTCCGCGCGGGGATGATCTTGACTGTCCACTAAGAAATTATTAAAATGCTCTTCGTCGAGCAATGCGCCCCGTATGACGGAAGTATGAGAGAGCGAGCTGCAGTTTCCAAAAAGTCTAACTTTTGCAAACCTGATCATTGGATGTATTTTTGACAAGGCCTACTAAATTATCTAAGGGAGTTCAGAAAACTCATATCTGAGTGGTTTTTTATTTATTCTTGGGCTTTAAAAATGGACTTTAAGAGTTGCGTAATCATTCCAGATGACAGACTGAACACCCTAAAATAACCTTTTTTTATAAGTAACTATTTCCAGTTTTTCAAGACTTTCCGGGAGACATAGTTCTTAAAAATCAAATGTCGTTAGGTTTACGAAAATATATAAAAAGCATATATCAGAGACATGAGAGACATGACAATGAATTATTCTGCACAAAACCCAGAATTAAACTCTTTTTCATGGTGCGTGAAACATCCTGGTTTGATAAGGCTCCAGTAAGTCGACCGCACACGCACCAGGAAGGCAAAAAAGGTCTGTTAGGATGGCCTGGGAGGAATTATTTACGAACAACGGATAAATATGCTTGTTATGGAAGGGACGTTCACCGGTCAGGTTGTCAGACATGCCCAATTCGTTGTGCCTTGGCGGTTAATCTAGAGCTCTCGCAGACTGTCACGTAGCTATTAATATTGCATGCAAATAACGGATATTGGAGGTCGGGATGGTCACTTATAGCTTTTTAGTCGCCGTCAGTCAGAGATACCCAGTTACATGTTTGAATGACCCGGGTTTGGATCCTGGTTCTTTAATCATTGAGGGTTAAGTGATTCAAAGTTTAGCCATTCAGTCACGGACCTGTCGTCCGCCTTATTGCGATCAGGATCGTACATAATTGTGCCAATGGAGTTCGCCGATCAGGTTATGGGGCATGCCTGTCCTGTTACGCCTTGAGACTCAATTTAGGTCCCCGAATTCTTCTGAATGGGTGTTTTTAAATAGTGCGGAGGGAAGCTAACAGCCTCTAAGAAAATCGTTGGGTATGTGACATTCCGGAACCTAACAAGCGTTGAGTGATCTTGGTGGGACTTTAATCTTAGAGTGACCATTGGTTCAGCCCTTCATCTAGGATTCGATGTATTTAAACGATTCCTTTGAAATATTTGACTGGTATAGAGTATTCGATGAACACATCGGTTCGCTAAAACGAGTCATTCACTCCAAGGCCCATGGAAATAGTTGCAGTTAAATGGGCGAGAGTAAGATCGTATACAAGAAGCTTCTTGGACTAACTCTCTGCATTTGTATTTACCTTTCAAGAAATCTTCCTTTGAACATTTTCTCCCGAGGCACAAATCCATACGTAGGTTATGCAAACCAATACGATATAGACTAGTATCACATCCAAGTAACTTTACAAAACTGTTAAACTGACCTTATCATTAAGTTTTGAATAATTTCCACGAAACGTATAAAATTGAAGGAACACTAATAGTTAAATGCAAAGGAATGTAGATTGTGTTTAGCAACAAACTCTTAAATAGTCTACATTTCTATCGAACACTCATTGATCCCCTTAAGTTGAAAAGAATGGCATTGTCGTAACATTAGAACGCACTGTTGATGTGGGCACTTGTTAAGCCTTTAGGGAAATGGTCACTAATATATACAGACCAAAGGCAGAACAAGACTGGATGACCAGGACAGACGGTGTATTCGGCTGAAAGGCCAAACACGCGTTCCAGTCAGAAGATTTGAAATTGCCAAACTCCCTATCTACCTATTCCGGGACTGTTGCCCAGATCTTCGGCCCTGGCGCTGAAATGCTCCACAGGGTGCCATAAGCAGAATTTGGAGGAACCCGCTGTATCAATGTTCACTTCAAGCAAGACGGGTACTTCAGGAACTTTTTTCCTTATGCTTTTAGAGTTGTCGTGAAGCAAGGAGCGCAAAGTATAAAGTCATGGCAAGCCTTGACTCACGTAAAAACTGTCGTTGAAACAACAAAATAAATTGTATCTGATTCGATCGTGGGCATTTCCTAACTATCCTACGTCAGAAACGATTGTCAAGTCAGAAAAATGAAAACGTAGACTGGTAGTCAGTAGCCGTGGACTTCGCTGAGCGTAGTTATTGCTCATTCAACTATAAGCGGCAAACGGGTCACGAGCTGGTAATGTAAAACATATGTGAATAATGGTGATGAACCATCGGATTCGCTGGTCATAAAAAATCGGATAACTAGGAGAGAGCGAGAAATCAGCGAGATGTTCCGTGGGCTGCAGAAGCCAAGGTATTCAGGAGAGTAGTCTATTAGTCGTCAAGTAGACCGTCTACTAGTAAATCTGGTGATACGTAACTAACTGTTATGAAGACAGCCGTAAGACAAAAAACTCGGACGACAGTTCCTTTACTGAGTAATTCAAGTTTATATTGTTTATCCTGATACTGAAGTCGGATGGAAGACCGAAACGTTTGGTAAGTGCCCATATGTTTCTGGAGATCAGAATTCCCGTTCATCATCATCATCATCATCATCATCATCATCATGGTTATCTCTTTCGATGTTTACAATGATTTTCCAGCCAATAGGGTCCTAAGAAAAGACGGAAAATTCTCTAGCACAAAGCCAACAGGCAATCTATGCGAATTAACAGAAAATATTGTCTAGCGCCATTCAACACTGTAGCACGGCCTCAGGATATTAAACATGTGAGAATACTGATAAATATTTAGTGTTTCAGTAATATCAAGCATAGGCAGTTAACATATATTTTTCAACGAGAGAACTGCGAGAGTTTGCAATGCATGCACCGTCTATTGACACCCAACTATATACATTTTCAACCACATGTCCCTGTCTTTGATTTCCCAACCCTTATCGCCACAGTGACATATGACGAAGAGGACGGTACGCATGCCGAAAGAGCTGGTGAATTAAGAATACCACATGCGAAAACTTCGAAAAATCGGCATTCTCTAAAGGTCGGGAACTCTTTTTTATACTATAGACATATTATTAAGTATAGCTGTTTATCTCCTGCATACAAAAGGTTGGCCAGCATAACCGCACTGGTACATCAATCAGACTGAACAAAAGACCCGTATAGTGGGTTTCAAAAATAAAATAACGGTTATTCGCACAGCCGACAGGCGGGCTCACTGTGCGGAGCCCCCAGAGTGAAGTCGAGATCGCCGGTCTGATCTCATCCTAGCGTACAGGTTTTCTAGATTTGTGTATCTCACAAGTCCGTAGCCAGCATTCCCAAAAGTTATTTGTTAGTCGAACAGTTTTAAGGTATAAATATTGGCAGACGCAATTATGGTGCTGATCTCTTATTAGACGGACACTTTGACTGGAACTGCGGTTCTGACAAGTTTTTCCAAACGCACTCGCTATTCAGTCATTCCTACCTGTTGATATTTTTTGGATATTCTGTGCCCCTGTTGAGCTCACACTTCTCACATTGACAAGGAGAAAAGTGGGTCAAACTCAGTGATATAAAGCGTAAGAAAGTTGGCCACATATCCCTGATCAGCAAGTGATTGATTCTGACAGATACTTTGGCCTGAACTATGCGATTATCCAAAAGTAGGTTTTTTGCTCAGCTTCCAAACATGCTATAAAATGGATTATGGCAAAACAGTAGTGGCCGCTAAATTTCACTTGCCACTATCAGTTTGCTTCTGAAAATCCTGGGAAATCTCTGATGCTGAAGGATGTATGCTCACAATGAAAGCTTCTCCGGCACATTTTGCACATGACCAGCATCTGGTGAATTTATTGTTCTTCTACAACATCTAGAGCAGCGCGGAGTTTATAGAACCACCACTAAATACCGTGAGAACCGTCAGCACTTTTTCCGTTTTTTTTCCGGTTGATGTCCACCAACGCTACGGAAATATGCATGTGCTTACTGATAAAACACGCAAATTTGCACGTTAGGAAATACCGTCACCCTCTGCAGGAAAATTTATTTCCCTTGAAGTTTAAACCTGCAGTCTTCTTCCTCTTCAAATTTTGCAACTTTCAACTAGAAACTTCCTCGAGAAGAAGAGGACGATTCCATGCAATTAGTACGTACGTGCGCGTTAAAGGCCACTTTCTGAAATCAGGTTAACTCTGTAAGCAAGGTTTAAAATCGTAATTTCTTGCTACGGCGCAGGAGGAAACACTTACGCCCTCGTAAACTCCGATATATGCTTAGAACAGATAAAAAAAAATAATATGAAATTCTTACAGAAGTCAGTCAGAGCATCGACAAGAACTTTCAGATCCCATCGGCACTGGAAGATAAACAATCCTATCTATCAGATGACAGATGTAGCTTTAGTTTGGCTTCGGGTTTTCCGACGAACCACTTTCCTCGTGTTGTTGCCAAAGATATAAGAAAACAAAGATTTTGAGCAAATAAGGGGCTACATGAAGTTCTTTAAGACGCTTCCCAGTACCGGACTTGAATTTTACCGTAAAGGTTTGTGTTTGAAACTGATTGTTTGCCCAAAATAGGATGTGGTTTGTAACTGCACAACCGGCAGTCAGTAGCATGTACTTTCAGGCCAGGCATAGTAATCTACTGGTATTTTTTGAAGGGAGCCAAAGCTTCTGCTATCTACTTAGACAAAGGCTCTTTATCCAGAGCTGTTCGGTCAAAAGTACAGCAAGTGCCTTTGGCAGGGTAGTACGTACTTTCAAAGAACAAAAAAGTGCAAAACCACTGGTCGCCATCAACCACATGTTTTGATTCCACTTTTATGATGGCAGGACTGTCAAGTTGCGCAGGAGGACCATCACCTATGGACAGAACGCTGGCTGGTGAGTCAGGCCAAGTAACGCCGCTTTGCTAGCGATACGTCATTCTTTGCTTAGGCAATGAAACCCATGGCATTCAAATTCTGGATGCCTCTCTGAAGTAAATTTTGCCAACGGTTCATGTGATTGAAACATCTCACTCAAAGTGTTTAAATCCAAAAATACTTGAAGAGGAGTAAGCACATGTTATCATAATGATGACCTTCCCCTCTTCGGTCACCTCACTTGGAAATCGTTCATTCACCATGAACAGTCTAAAATTTAATTGACAAAATGTCCTCCCTGCTAGGTGGGTGCGGAATTAATTTAAATGAATGGAGAAATTGTAAGTTATTCAGCCAGTGTGAAATAGGAAATTGAAAAAATCCACAACCAAATGGTGCTAATAAATGCAATGGGGTTCAACCCCTTTGAGGTCACAAAATTAAAGGACATTCCGGGAATTCAGATATTTTGGGGCGTGGCACCGTTTACCTCAGCCTAAATGCCAAACAAATAATTTCTAAGACAGCCAGAAGGAACGAAAACAAAATTTTAGGAACACTACAAGCTAAAAGTGGACATTCTTTTACTAGGTATTCCGACTGTTTGCATACAAGTTTTTGAAATATGTATCATCTTCTATACTTTTGAGCTACTTATGGCGAAAATACTTTTCTCATTCATTCGGTAGTTATGTTGTAAAGATAGAAGTTCCTTGTTATAAACTATCCTTCGCTCCGACAGAGCTTGCCATTTCGAGTTTGGGCTCAAACAGTTTAAAAGGGAACGGCACCCGTATTTGAACCTCATCTCTTCCTAGTCTGGGGTAAAAAATCGGGCTGCTTACGACAGCGTCCGAGCCAAAAAATGGTTCATCCAGCCACTTCCTGTGTCTGCCAGTAAAATTTTTTAATTACTGTTTGCTCATTGTTGTACTACGTCCGGCGGAAGTCCCTGCCAGAACATAGTACTCGTTTTCTGTCTTGCAATCAGGCCAGATCAATGAATCTCACCGCCAAGTGACCTGAAAGAAGGTAGACCTACGTCCTTATCGAAAGCTCCTCGAACTTAAAAATTTAAAGTGACTGTCTGCATGAGGTAACGTTTCCTGAGTCTGCCTGATTTGGCGTGTAAGAAGATGCCTATCACACTTTTAAAGCACAAAATTCGGTACGGAACGATTTTATGGAGCTTTTTTTTACTGAAAAACCGAACAGCCATCCGTTTCGGAGTCCTATCTGTGTCAACAGAATATTTATTTACTGAAACTGTCGTCATGGGAGATGCCCTGTGTCCTAGGAATCTTTATATAGCTTGCAAAAGGAATAACTTTAGCAGGGCCAGATTAGTGACGATACGTGGATACTAAGATGGCCCATACTCTGGACTCATTCATATCCTCTCCACCAACCCATTGCTCCGAACAACACTTCCAGTGGGAACAAAACATGCGCTTTCAGAGGTACTGTGTCAATCTTCTTTCATATATGATTATCTCCCACTCACAACACCCGCCCGATCACACTACGCCCTTTTTGCCGACTTTCTATAACCCCTGCCACCTTGTTCGAAATCAGTCAACTTGTTTTTCTTCTGTTCGCTAGTGCGTGATTGGTACTGACGTGTGCGTAATCTACCCCTCCTGTAATAATTTCATGGGTTTCTCGAGGCAGCTTTAAACAAAGTTCCCGGATTTTCTTGCTATTATTGATTTCTCCTGTCGGTACATGAAACTTTTTGTCGTTTTCAGGGCTCGGCAATGCCGACTGACTTCCTAAGAATTCATTATTTATAAAGAACTAAGCTACCCTCTGAGAACTAAATTAACCCTGTTGATATAATCAGTGAATACAATTCGACATTTGAAGCAAGACACCGCTACATTTAAACTGAAACCCTCCCAATAACCAAGATTAATGTCTTTAAAAGGCTACTAATCCAGAACCTTTTCGGTGTTAACGGCTTAGAGTCATTTCTGGGGTCTTGAATTTCTCCTCCGTCTCCTTTGGCAGTGGAACTTGACGCACAAGTTGAGTTGAGGCACTTTTATCCTCCCAATAAACGTGCACAGTGGTGTTACGCTATGGCCAATGGACGCGGTGCGGACCTTCAGTTTGCAGTTCTCCTTATGGCATTTATTCATCATCGCCACCTGCGCTTCGTGGCTGACAGCTGCGAGGGCGTTCTGCTAGCAGAGTGCACTCCGAACCCCCACTGGTCCTGCCCTCTACGACAAACCTCCTTAAGTCAGAAAGAGGCCCCAGGGTTTTGATCTGCGCTTAAATCCAAAAAATTCTCGAAGAGGAATAGGCACATGCTACTGTGATGGTAATCTTCCCCTCTTCGATGTTCTGTGGGAATACCGGGGTTTGTAGACTAAAGAAAATAAGCTTATAGATAAGAGCATTCCCTCCAGGTATAGCACCTTAATCAGAAATGTTAATGGGAGCTAGTGTTCATAGAAACTTTGACCAAACTGAGCAGGCATGCACTAGAATTTACAGAAAACTCCAAATGGGCATACGATACAGATAAAGAGGAAGCCTATGCTCGAATGTTTGGATGTAATAATCCTTGCACGATATTTCGATTCGTGTTATTATTTAAAGTGTCTGTGGACCAATTTACCCATAAAAGTCATTTTTACGATATTCATATTAGCACAATCATTCATGAAAGAGGGAGATAACAAGGAAGTCAGTATTTTATACTGAAGTAAGTAGTACATTTTAAAAATGAGCATCCGAATTGGGACATTTTGTTGGCTATCGACAAATCTGGATTTCGAGAAGTTTCAAACTCAAGTGTTCATCTTAAATTATGCATCCGTGTCTGAACATAACAAGCCGGTGGAAAATCCACTGCCTTAACAAATATCGTCGTGAGTCACAAACACCTGCCCTCCGTACGTACTGGACGGAGCAGTGCACATGAATAGCCCAACATAAGCCTCAAAACTTCAGAAATATAACATAGTTAGGAGGAATATTTAAGTGCGTTCAGTATTTATTTTTAACTGGACGTAATACAAATAAAATAATTTAAACTATCACATCATAAATAACGAACCGAAATATCTGGAACTATGCCTGGATCAAGTCGTTCCTTGACAAGTTTAATAAAACTTCTGAAATTATTTTTGTTGAAATAGTACTTAATTATCACTTTGCATGCATGTAAAGCCAGACTTAACCTACCTAAAAGTTCATATCGGGGTGAGTGTTAGTCGGCTTTAATTATACACTGCTATTTTAGTTTTACTCACAGTGAAGCCTACTGAGAATAGTCGAGTTCATTTTCGACGTTCATGGATTTCGGTCACACGAGAGACCTATGGGCGAAGAGATCATGATGCTATGGGCTCGTTCGTCCAAAGAAATTTCGAAGACTATCGAAGAGTGAACAGGCGGAACTATTAAAACAGGCTTTGAAGGAGTATTTGAAGTAAAATTCACGTGAAGTGGTTGCTCCGATTTGACACACTTTGTCTTTCGATCGGTTTGCTTTAAATGCAGATGGCTTTTAGTCTTTCTTTGTTTATGTTTCGTTTCAGTCAATCAGACCTTATTGTACTCTGGGCAACTGTATTTGCTGCGACTGCATAAACCAGAAAGTAGTCATTTGAAGTGCTTAAAGCATAATTTGGTGTTTTGGCAAATAGTTATTCATCTTTCATACGTAGAACGCAATATACTGTACAAAATAAATCTCCCAGAAAGCAAAAGAAATAACACTTTTTTTCTGGTTTAGTTCGTTTTTAACTTTGTTCCTTTGAATCCAACCAGCGAGGGTTTCGTTTGCCTGATTCACCACGATGTTTGTATTTCCGAACGCATATTGCAAAAAGACAGTGTTCGAGTCCATTGTGGATTACCACTAACTTTTCTGGGTTTCAGGTACCCAATTGTCTTAATCTTCAGCAAACTTCAATATTATTATTCTTATTGCGTTAAAAACAGAAGCCAGTACGTTTAACGCATCGTTCTCAATTAGTCTCTTCAATTTATTCAATTATCAATAAATGCGCAAATGTTCAAAATTGCAAGAGAATAATACCGAGTAAACTAATGCACGTACCTTTTCGGTCCAACTGTGCCAACAACTGTAATGCAATCACCGGGCTGCAGTGGGTCAGGAAATTCGAAACTGACACCCATGCTTAAGAAAAGCGATAAAATTAATAAGTCCGAGTGTCCTTCTGTAGTCAAAAAGCGGAAAGTTCGAATTCTACGTCCTCTATAAACAGTGTTGTCGCAAAAAATAGGAAATAAATGATGGTCAGTAAGCTAGGTAATTCGTCTTTTTGCTTTTCGACTGACAATATGGCACACAGAATCAGAAGACCGTGCATGCACACATTGGCACAAAGGCTAGCAACAGCCAATGAGCGCATGACATTTAGAACCAATGACTGAAAACGACATCGAGGGTGGTCACAGAGTACAAGCATCGTCGCCCTCACTACTTCAAAATGAGCGTGTCCAAAGAGTGGAAGAGTCACACATCTGCCTTGCGGCGTACGCATGCAGTAGTACTTAGTTGATACCACTAACTAACTGCGGATAAATGCTCGTTGCCCCTCTGAGGTGCCTGATGTTGGGGTTTGGTTGGGCATTCTCTGCGCCATCTCTGTGGTTCATTGTCAAACGCAATAACTATTACAACTCACGCAAATTAAATCTTGCCTACTGTGGGAAACGCAAAAAAACCTTCGTTTATGATAATGCTTGGTAGGAAAGCAGGCTTATTTAAAGAGTTTTGAGTAAGTTGAAAATGGTATTTCGGTTTTTAACAGTTTTCCTATTCCCTGTCTGCCTTCGAATACAGCAGCGTTTTAATGTGCTTGTACCTCTTGCAGTCTCATTTAAAACTGGAAACCACGCCTCTTTCAGAAATGACACAAAAATCGCACTTTTCGGGAGAAGGAATACAGGGGATTAAATCCGCCGTGTCTGTATCTTAGGAGTCCTTGCTAATAAAAAAGCGGAAAAGTAATGACATAATAATCGTGGCCGGCGGCTGGAAGCATGCCCTACCGAAAGCCATCTAACGGTCCAATGGAAATGAACTTGCAATTTTGTTTTATGGTAATCGGTAGTGTAAGGTAAATTAAGCAGTCATCCTCTAAAGCAGATCTTCAACTGTCCGCCAGCTTTTGTGGACTCCGAAGCATACCGCAAGTGTGGTTGGGAACGTGGTCCCACGTTAATTCCCGTATGACAGCTTGCTGCCCTTTCCCGGACATCTCTCCACTCAAATGAGTGAGCTATTTACGAAATGAAGAATTTCTCACAAAGATTTGAGTTTTTTATGACTACAATTATCTCTAAAGTCTAAGTTATTATAAGTGGAAATGATAAAAAGGTCACTCTTATACTCATATGTATGTTTGTGCTGGTAAATTTTAAAACAGCGTGTTTAACCTTTCCTCGAGAATTCCAAACTACGTGCCATATACTGATTAAGAGACAAATTACAAGGACCCCAGACGTTTCTCTAAGACAGTCTGTTGGTGCTTTTAAGTGTTCAATTTTAATAAGCCGTTAAAAAACTTTATAAATAGAAGCAGGCAAATGACTGAAGAAAATTGAAGGGTAAAATGGACACAAGATATACTATGTTGGTGTACGGATTTCCCTCCTAAAGAGCACCCCAGAGATGCCCATTCACATGAATTTGACAAACAGAGATTCACGCCATATAAGGCGGCTCTTCGTCTAGTACCACCTGGTGATAAGACCAACTCATGTAGCCCCCTAAACAGGAAATAAGAATGGGTACGCCTTGCCCACGTAATAAAGATGGACCTGCGCATAATTCCGGTAAGGACAAAATATTCCCTTGTCCTAACCTCAACGAGAACCCCAATATAAAACAAGACGATTGCCCGAATCTTGACCCTAACCGTATCCTGAACCTTAACTCCACAGTTAAAACCAGCCCCTACCTTAACCCTAAACGTGATCCTGACTTCTCTTACTGTTAACTTTAACTCTAGCCTTGAACCTAATCCTTAACCCAACCCTTGCTCTAACATTAAACCTAATCCTAATTTCACTGGAAGTTGACTCAAAGCCACCCGTATTTCGGGCGGTTCCTGCACTCATGTTTCGTTTGGGGAGCCATATAAGTCAGCCTTACCCCACTCAATTTTCTGCTGGTAAGATGGCGTAATTGTGAGGCGTACGTCACTGATGCATTATTATTTGGTAGAAAAAGAGAGCTCTAACTGCTGCTGTCGCTGTGTTTGCCTGTCCGGGATTGCTGCTGACTAATTATGCATGCATGTGATGCAGCAATGTCTGTGGAGCTGAGAGAACGTTCATAAACCTGCGACCTGCCGACCAGGCTTGGCGTAACCGTACCCGCACCGCGGCATGTAGAGCGTCGTGGGGTAGTTGGCTGGCGCAGCGCACTGATAGAAAAGTCAACCCACGTCGAGTGCAAGTGCTACAATGATGTCTATTTCTGGGTAGTGACCCCAAGCTATGGCATAAACCAAAAATGACATCGCAAGAACAGCGCGCTCAATTATCCTTCTTTAAATCGACTGTTCGATGACAGTTAAGCGTCGTGGATGAGTCATCCTGGTCTTCATTGCCTGTCGGCGTCTGGTACCTCTTCTACTTTGTGGTGGTCGCTTACTTTGGCATCTTTTGCCGTCGGGGGAATCTCTCCAGCGGTTACATAAACGGCACGCACAGAATAGGTAACAGATGTGCACTGAAGGATATAAGCCTTTGGTGTAACTAGACGAGCAATTGCTTTGGAAGGGCAGTAAAGGGAAACGGGTTCGCAGTTAAGGCTTAGGTTTTCGATAATGTTAACTGTAAAGAATCCACCCGTTAACAAAATATTGCAAAGAAGAAATGGTTATAAATCGTAACTCCACCACGTCATTGTTTCAACCTCTTCTGATACACTGCGCAGTGGTCTCCTCTAGGGTTGTTAGTATATTTAAAATGTTTGAAAATCCCAAATGTTGTGATTTATGAAAGATCAACCCTGGTTCGGATTGTAAAAAATGCCAGGCAAGCCCTGTTCAGATATATATTTGAAGGGAAATGTGACAATAAAATAAAACGCACGGGTTGTCATAGTCCCTACTCGGTCACCGTCTGAAAATTCTCAATAAAGTCAGTCGTAGGTTCACGGTCATGAATGGAAGTCTGGCGTTTCAGTCATAGACAGACTTCATGGTTATTCAGTAAAGCAAGCAACCGCAAAAGATAAAATAAAACTCCATGGGATGGGTGGACAGTAATCAATTATTCCAAAAACCTCGACGGCATTCGGCACTAAAAATTAACAAATGGCGCGCAAAATATCGAATGTGCCAGCATGGCACTCAGGGGAAACGAGCTAATAATCGTTTCGCACTATCATTTGTTAGCACCGAACATTCCAACACCTTTTACAGCCTCCAAGCCAACAATTATCGATTTAAAGTGGAAATCCAAAGAATCAGGATACTTTAAGAGATAACCCAGCAAGCACCTGGTCAACATTAGGGTCAGCGCAAAGAGAACGCCTATCCGAAGTATGTGCGGAGACCGGAGAAATTCAAAGTTAAATGACATGTGGTCTAGATCACCATCAAAAGGAAGTATGGGGTTGAGCCTTTAGTCAGAAGTAGAGCCTCTAATTATGAATTCTCTCCGACTGCAATGAAGCACAGAAATGTCGACGAAGTTGACGCGGGAGATATCAGTCATTTTCTGCACGGAGTTTTAAAATTCACTGAGCATTTTCGCTCCAGACGCAAGGGCGGTTGTTCGAATATCGTCTGAATGGCACAACTAAAGGCTTAATCGTATCTGCTACAGGATGAAGTCCAAATCCGTGTTTAAATACTTGAATCTGTATGCAAACACAAATGCCCACTTCCTGAGCAGGCTTTTAACCTTTATGCGATTAAAGCCTGTGACAGGAAAACTGTGTCATCTGCGAAGGTCTTTAATAAACGAAAATGCACGAATGTCATCGCAAATGCCAGAAAGCGCAAAGTACCTGGACGATTTTGGTTATAACAGGGGTGTCTGATTGCATACATAACCAAAATGAACTTTTTTGTGGAACTACGGAAGGTCTCATCCTACTGAATGTATTGAGACTGCCTTAATGCCAGGAGAGGCACGCTGGAGCCGGAACAAAAACAGGTAGGACTGACTTACATACATGGATCCCTAAACAGGACATGGGGACAGAAACCGTCTGCAATACGGGTGGCTTTGGGTCAACTTCCAGTGAAATTAGGATTAGGTTTAATGTTAGGGTTAGGTTAAAGATTGGGTTTAAGTCTAGATTTAAAGTTAACGGCACGGTAAGTCAGGATAAAGTTCACGTTTAAGGTAGGGACTAGTGTTAACTGCTGGGTTAAGGTTCAGGATAAGGTTAGGGTCAAAATTAGGGCAACGATTCACTTTTATATTGGTGTTACTGTTGGGATTTGGAGACGGGAATAGTTGGCCATTTCCGGAGTTATCCGCAGGTCCACCTCGATTACTTGGGCAGGGCGTACCTATTCCCATGTCCTGTTTGGGGATCCACATAAAACGGTCCTACCCAAAAACAACCTGCTAAATGGATTTATGCTCGCATTTATAGCGCCCTATAGGTGGCTCACAAGAGAACACTTTAATGAGCAGTAAACTATGTATGCGACAGGATAATCACTATACAAGCAATCTTAGGTATCCAAGATGGTCTGAGAGGAAATTCACTAGAACTTAGAAAAATTTTAGTCGTTGCCTGAAAAATCCTTTCCAAAAACAATTTCTGATGGCCGAACTCCTTTTTAAAGAAAGTTAAATGCAGTCAGCAGTAAGAGCGCGCTGAATGTAGATTTGAAGTACAAACCCAGCGATACTGTTGACATTATACTGTCGACTTCGAAGAATATTCCAACCACAACAGAGACGTTCTTGGGACGAGGTTTGGTTCTACAGTCCCACTCGACTGATACCATATGGTTAGCTTACTAAAACAATATTAGTTGACATACATGACTTAGCCACCCACTGGATTAGGAAGGGCAAGAGAGCGCAAGCGGAACTCGAAGCACTCGCAGGGAAGCGAGTGAAGGTGGCGTGTACACAGCCGCTCGCCGGATACAGAGGATAAGGAGGGTACAATCACAACTGGAAGGCCACTGAGG